CACCTCTCCAGCGAGGAGGCTTTAACCCCCAGTTCATCACAAAAATCAGCATGGCCCGTGCCAGGCTTTTGCAAAGAAGTACATGGAAATTCCCTGCACAGCAGCAACCCGTGGAGAACTTAAAGCAAATACTACATTTAGTTAATTTAACTTAAAACTAACTCCATTACTTAGTTAATTAAATGAAGAGACATTCACCTTTGGTAAAACAAAGTAATGATAAACTATTGAGATCAAAAAAGAAATATGAGCATATTTAAGACATTTTTCAAGCTGTTAAAAACAGTGCCAAGGAACAAGTGAGCACCAAACTGCCCTCCCTGCTCCACTGTGGGACACCACTGGTGTCCCCAGGTGCCCAAAGCTAAGAGGCTCAGACTCCCCCGAAGCCCACATGTGATTTTATTTATTTAATTAGAAGCAGTGTAGTGGACTGATACTGTGTGTGAGGCCAGGGCTGGTGTGAGAAGTCACAGGAATGATGCTGCAGAGCCCACGCTGGGTGGAAGCCACATGCAACAGGAGGCAGCAGGTCCTCAGTCCTGCAGCCACACAGCCCTGAGTCCACCCAGAGCAAACAGAGCAAACCTCACTTGTATTCCACACACTCACATCTCCACTGGCCTGGCTCACACACAGCATTGGGTTCCCTGCTCTGCCTGGATCAGGCTGCTCAAACAGCTACAGCAGACCCAAGCTAGTCCCAGTTCCCCCTCTGCACCCCATCCTGGCTGGCATTGTCACATGGTGAGCTGCTGCCTCAGCAGGGCAAACTAACACGGATCTCTGTGCACTGAGACTTTGGTGCCAAGCACAGAATAACACATTCTAGGAAAAACAGCCTTCTCATCTTTCCTGTGCAACTCCCCTGCCACTGTGGAGAGATCAGTTCTTCTGCTCTGCCCAGAGCTCACCCCCAGATGGATGGTCAGGCTGGGGAAGCTGCTGCTCAGGGGGCAGCACAAGGGAGGACAAGGCAGGGGGGACCAGGAGCACAGACCCACCGTCCTCATCCCTCCCCTGAGAATGACATGGGGGCTGCTCTGCCAGCAGGGTAGCACTGGGATGCCATTCCCAACTGAGTGCCTGCAGGAAGTGCCTCTCCCTGTCTGTGCTGCCAGAGGAAATCCAGCCTTTCACCTCACACAGCTTATTGCACCCAAGTGTCCAGGTCTGGGAGGACTCACATCCTATTCCAGCTCTGGCTACGTGCTACCAATTTAATTTCTGCTGCAATTATTCTCCCATCCAGACACTTGATCTACTGTCAATTAGCACTGACACAGTCCCCACAGCCCAAAGCCCATGTTTCCAGCCCCCCTGGGCCAGAAAGCTGCCAATTCTGGCAGTTTGGGAAACGGTCAAGAAAACAAACATCCTCTCCTTTGATTAGCACCACATGGCGGTATTTTGACTAGAGAGCTCGTGCTACAGGAAGCCAAAACCAGTGGGATCTCCAGAAACTTATGGATGGGTGCTCCCACTGCCTCTGTCTGCCAGGGAGGAGTGGCTGGGCCAGTGCCCACAACAACACCAACACCGTGCAAAGGGAGCCCGGGGATCCCAGCACGTCAGCAGTGATGTCATGTCTGCAGGAGGGGAATGCTGACTGCTGGCTGCAGAGCTCTGAGCTGCCCCAGCATCCCCCAGGTCCCACATCCACCCACCTCCAGGTCCAACAGGCATGCAGCCCTTCGTTCTTTAGGATGCAAGTCTGAATATCACTCATTTCTGGGCTCCTCTACAGATCCTTGCTGTTAAGGACAGACTTGCCCAGTGAAACCAACTGATAATCAAAGTCTGCTCTTTAAAAAAAATGTTATTTCCCAAAGGTGACTCACTCAGTGTTGTTCCTGCTAATTGTGAACAAGCAGCTCTCCATTTCCAGCTTCTTCAGTTGTGGGGGCAGCTATTCCCTGCAGTCACAGCATTAATCAAAGTTTTAACAAGGAGGATTGATTACATTCTTGGTCTCTGAGTAGGGATTTTCCACAAAGCTCAACAGAGAAACCACAACAGATTTAGAAAGAGGGGAGAGGAGAGCTCACAGCAACTCCATACCTTCCAAGTTGCCTTGCACAGAAGATAATTGCAAGTCTCTCTACCTTCAAGACAAAGATTACACCTAAATAAACTAAATTCTAGTAATAGAAATACAGCCTCTCTACAAATCGCTCAGACTGAGGCATTCTGCTTATGTCACATGTTTTGGGGCCTCCAGCAAGAATTACTGCAGTCACAAGTCAAAAGACTTCCAAGACATCTTTGCCCAGAATGATGAAAAAGTTGATAGAGTAAAACCTGGAGGAAGGAAGGACATGTGCTCCACATTACTGCAAAGGCCACTTTGGGTAAAACTCTCAAAACCCTTTTCAAGGACAACCCCAAACCTCTTTTTGTGATTTGAGAGCAGAATTCCAGCAGGTTTTTTTCCCTGCCTTTCAAAGCAGATTGCTTTTTTCCAGATGCGAGGAAGTGCACCTAAAGGTTGCACATTTTGAGCCAAGTTATTGCTTTACAATAAGATTTTTCTGTCTCACAATCCAGCGAGTGCCTTTGCTGGAGAGGCTGAGTGAACACAGCCTGGGACAGCCCTGGGTCACCCCGCCCTGCTCCACAACCAGGGAGCAACCAGCTCCAAGACAGCGAGCTCCACAACGATGGGGAAGGGATGCCTGGGGCCAGGGTTGGTTCTCTGGGGTGCTGATGGTCCCCCTGAGCATCATGCAGGTCAGAGGACACCAGAGCACAGCTCTGGCACGTGTCCTGAGCCATCAGCATGAGCCACAGATGGCTTGGGGAGGGAGAAGAGTCAACCAGCACATCTTGGGTGGAACCACAGCAATGTGTGCATGAAACCTCCTTCACCTCCTCTCTGGGAAAGCCAAAAGGCCATTGAGCAAGAGTATGTAGGGATACAGGCACTGAAATAGAGGGCAAGAGCTCCTGCCTGTACCTGTGTCCCCTTGTTCACACACCTCTCTCAGTGCCTACCAGAAACACATCTGCTTTACCCACCCACTCTCCAGACTTATATATTTTCAGTGTAGGTCTGGATTCAGGATAATCCACCCCTACCCCCTCATTATATTTCATATAACTGTCTAATTTTTAAAAAGATACATATGTAACATATATTAATAGTCAGATTCAAATCCAATCTGCATTAAACCTCAGAAATGTTGTATCTGGCAGTGGAACTGCTGCACATTTGTTCCTCATTTAATATTATTCATAGGGTTTGGGTACATTAAAGTCTATTAAGAAAAAATATCTGTCAGAAAAGATGGCTGTAATTGATGAATGAAGCAAACGTGGCCAGAACCCAAAGCCCAGGCTCACAGATCAGCCTGTGCTGTCACTCAGGACAGGAAAGACAAACAGACCCACGTGTTGCTGGTGTGTGGTACCGGAGTGGGTTTGCTGGCCCTGCAGTCCCTGGGCAGGAATACAGAACATTTGCGAATCCCACAGGGCTGGAATGGCCAGCTGACTCAATGGCCTCAGGCTCAGGTCCACTTCTCATGGGGTTTGGAGGATCTCACCCCATCCACATGGCTGGGTGGGGTCTGTGCTGCCAGTGCTCTCTCCCTGCTCCTCACTGAAGGAGACACCACTCCCTGTAGCATCATTCCCCCTCTTCCACCCTTGCAGCTCTCATGTTCCTTCTGGACTGAGCCAAAGGAGGGCAGCAGGGGCACCCTGGGACCCTTGTGGGGACATTCAAAAACCCCTCTAGAAAGGAGCAGTTGAGCTAAACCAGGAGAACCTGCACATGGGCACTTCATGAGGGCTGGAGAAAAAAACACAGAGCAGCACAGGACAGAACCCTGCTCTGTGGAGAAGGAAAGGATATGAGCAATGTTTGAACACTCAGGGTCAGCCTAAGAACACTTCTGTGTCACTGGGGCAAGCACAGGGGGTTTTTGCCAGCCTGAACTGATATAATTCCATGTTCTGAAGGCAGCAGGCAGCTCCAGGGCCTCTGCTGCTGCCCTGGGAGGGGTTGGCCAACCTACAGCAGTGAGAAGCCTCCGCAGGCTCCAGCCCTGCCATCCATGACCTTGGGTGCTCTGGGAAAGCTGGCAGCATGTGCATCAGCTCAGCACACACCCAAGGGGGAGCAAGACAGCAGGAGCTGACCTCTGCCCACATCCCCACCCCATCCCCTCCTCAGACATCTGCACAGGAGGGATCAGCACATCCAACAACCGACAGCCCAGTACCTCAGAGGCAGAGAGGGAGGAGAGAGACCCTGGTGCTTTTCCCATCGAGGAGCCAAAGGAGAAGGAGAGTCATCTTTGACCTTGCTAACAAACCATTAGACAGGAGAGAGGGAGCAGAGATGGAGACCTGCTCAGCTCCATCCCCTGCCTGGCAGCTGTGGAGCCACGGGGCAGGAAGGCAGGGCAGGATGCAGGCAGAAGGCTCCGGGGAACAGAGCTGAAGACAGAGGGGAGAGAAGCTGAAAAATAAGGAGAAGGAGGAGAAAGGATTAAGACAGGAAAAACAGGGAAAAAAAAGAGGGGAACATTAAAAAAAAAAATAAATCCATCACCATGGGAGGTGAATCACTTGGAGGGTGCAGAGGATTTTGGAAGCAGCTAAGGTGGAGGCATATCAGCTGAGGCAGATGCACACAGACCCTGGGTGTGCTGTGCCCCAGGAAGGGCAGGCACTGGGCAGTGCTGTCAGAGGGTTCCCAACAGCTCCATCCAAAATAATGCTGACCATGAGCTTGGTCACTGGCCCTGAGGGGGTCAGTGCTGGGTGCTGCCCTTCAGCTGCTGGCAAGCTGATCCTGCAAAGCCTGGCTCAGCCAGGAGGGCAATGGCAGAGATGGGATTATGCCAGATCAGATCAGGATCTGGCTCACCATGAGAGTCTGGGCTGTACCAACACAAGGAAAGCACAGCAGGCAGAGCAGAGGGCTTTCCAGACCCCAGACATGGATCTCCTCTGCCCAGAAGCGAGGTGGGAGGGCAGTGGGTGTGCAGTACCTGTGGCTCTGGCTCGATGTTGATCCGGTATGCCTGAGCCTTCCCGTCCTCCAGAACAGGGGGGGACCAGCTCTTCCCTTCGGCTCTGCAGGAGGAAATTAGGGAAACTCTATTTAACTTTTAAATAAACCCAACCAAAGCAAAAAAAAAATAATAATAAATTCAAACAAACAAAACCCACAAAAAACCCTCAAAAGCCAAACATATGTATAGTATGTAGGCCTGCCAGGGAATTATTATATACATATTTGTCTAATATTATCCTCAGAAATAGCACAGTGGTAAACAGAGAAGGTGCCAGTTCCATGCTATTAAAACCATGAAGCTCAAAACCCATCCTTGAAGTACAAGCTCTGACTCGGGGGGGGTGGGTTTAAGACACAAACTTATTTTGGTTCAAGAAATCAGTAGACAAGTTCATGGTGGCTCTTGTTTTGCATATTCCTGGCTTTGTCCCTGTATTCTGGCTCTGAATCTAGAAGGTATTCTCATTACATGTGTGTCTGTATATATATATATATATACACACACACATATGTGCATTCCCTGGCAGGCCTCAATACTAGCCCAGGACTGCAGGAATTCTATGAACACCTTTCAGGGAGAAGGCTTACACAACCCTGGATGAATCATCTTGCATCTTGACCCTTTCAACAGGTGCCAGATACAAAAAGCCCTAAAAATACAGTTTCCATTCCAAAATGCATCTTCAGTCCTGCTAAGGCAGAGCAGGATGCTGCCACTGTCCAAAGATTTTCCATGTGCCTGCTCATGTTTCCCCCCACAGAGGCATCTCGGGGCACAGCTGGGATGTGATCTCTAGTGTGGATCTCCAACGCTCAGGGTATGAGGGAGCTGCTGGAGCTGGGCACAGTCCAGCAGGCTGATACACAGGCTTTTTGGGATGCAAGGAGGTTGAACTGGGAGATGGAAACTCCATGAAGTTCAAGATAAAGCTTTCACATGCAAACTATTCTGTTTATCATCACAATCTGCATATGCACCACTTAATGAAAGTAGGTCTTGTTCCACGGGCACAGATCACTGGCTGCATCCAACCATCCTTTGTGGACTCCGGCCCCTGCCACATACCACACTCAGCTTCAGTTTAATTATCTGCAGAGTCCAAGTGTGAAAAATAAGGAGCACAGTTTTAACCTGGGAATTCCCGAGGTGATTTTTTACCTTTGGTATTTTGCAGCTGCACCAGTCAGCACACAAAGCTGCCTTTCCAGATCTAGGGTCTGACTCAAAACCTACCAAAACCAGGGACTCCCACTGACTTCAACACACTTTGGATCCAGTCCTGAGGATTTAAGCTCTTTTTGTTCCAAACCACTACTCAGTGCTGCCATCACAGCTTTTTCAACTGGGAATGACATACTCTCATAGCTAGATGCCTTGTCCTGATAATTTATCTTTACTATAATTATTTGATTTTAGACTGGGACAATTCACTATAAATTGGTCTTTCCAAGTGGGACAAAGGAAACAGTCCTTCCCAGGCACATCAGCATTCCCAGCATCCCCAACCTGCTTTTTGCCACGATCCAGTGCTGTGTGTATTGCTTCCACATTGAGACTCAAATCTGGAGGCCCAGAACAATGGGAATGCCTGATTCCACTGGCAGGGATCACCACTATTATCTCCCTGCTCTCCCCCACGCTGGGTCAGCCCGGGGGGCTCTCACAGTGCCCCCAGAAGGGGCTGTGATGACACTCCCCCCACTCGGCTCTGGAGCCCACGTGCCAAACACAGCTTAAAGCATCCCCAAAGGCTTTGACTTGCCAGTAAATAAGAACCAAGGCTCAGAAAGCAATTCTGGCTGCAGAAGATGAGAGGAATAGTAGTAACTTCACTCTGTGTGAAGCTTTGGCATTTGGTCACCAGCACTGCCCGCACTTGCCAGTTGGAGTCTCCCAGTTCTCCACACCCCTGACAAAGATCACACTGTCTGTACCAGAGAACAGCTAAACTTGTGTTTTCTAAAAGTCATTATGGATATATTTACACTTAATGAAAGACATGACCAGATTGGTTTGCACATTCAGTCACATTCAGAGAAGCCCATTTGTAGTTAATCCTTTAATGATTAAACTCAAGGCTTCACCATCAGCTCTGTAGAGCGACCAGAAGTTCTTGGTATAACTGAGACCACCTCCAACAGTGACAGCCTGAACAAAGCCAGGCTCCCCTCAGCCCCAGCTTTCACTTGAACTGTGCTGAAACAAGCTGCCGTGGCACAGTCTGGGTTCCATTTGGCACTTCTAAAGGCAAAGCAAAGGGGAATGGGAGAACCACCAGCCTCACCAGAACAAAATGCACGTCCTGAGTTTGAGGAGCATTTGTGCTCACACAGGGAGGCTCCCTCTTTTCCCTGGGAACAGCAAAATACCATGTAATCCAAAATAATCCCAAATAATTGGGAGGTGACTGTCTGAGAGAACAATGCCACGGGCAGCTACTGCAGGTGGGGCTGATGCTTGGAGCTCACTCCCCAAGCCTGGCTGCAGGAACAACCTCCTCCCAGGACACAGGGGCTGAGCAGGGCCCAGAGCAGTGGGGACCTGGGGGCCAGCACACCCTGAGACACCCCAGCAGCAGGTCCATGCTCCCAGCAGTCAGAGCTCTGTGTCTGGGCAACAGCAAACACCCACTGCACTTCTCTGACGTCATGGGCCAGAGATCAGGCGTCGCTCAAATGTTCCAAGTCGTTTAATTCTGGGGAAAAAGTGTTTTCAGATGTGTTGTAGGGGATTAAAGGCAGCTATGTGGAAATCATTACCCTGCACTAACACCACTCTGCTCTCCTAGCAGCTGCTAGGACAACCCCAAGAAAAATAACTTGACCTAGGTTAGTGCTGGGCCTTCCACATGGGGCTTGGTGGGAAACAGACCCATTTAACAGGACATCACTAAGAAAACAAAGTTGCAGACACCTTTTATCCCACTGTTTGTTTTCTAAAAGTCTCAAAGTCATTCTCAAAAGATTACTTGCATATGCTCACATATTTTACCAAAATGTTTTTTCACCTGGCAATGATCTGTAAGTCTCACTCTCAACATTTGTAGAGCTGCTTTTAAGCTGCAAGAATTCCTCACCGAATTTCTAATTTCTCCATCCCCTTATAAACTAACATTTATCACTTGGGGAAGTGCCAGCCTGGATCCAGGACACTGCCATCTCTGACTGTGCAGCCACAAACCATAAGAATAATCACGTTGCTATATTTCACCCCAATCCCCACGGTCCTGCCAGGAGGGTGACTCCAGGGTCCTGTCCATCTCCTGAACACTCTTCCCCTCCCACCAGGGCACATCACTATGCTCAGAACTGATTTTTATCACTGATATGGCCATGAGCCTTCCAGGAACTGAGTTCTGTCGAGAAGCAGCTACAGTCGATGCTTCACCTTCCCAGGACTGTGACCTTCACCACGACAACTGCAAGGTGTTGGATCCCCCCCTGCGAGGCAGGAGAGCAGTAGGAGAGCTGAGCTCTGCTGAGCACCCCGAAGGACCTGCCTGGTCCAGAGCACATGAAGGAGAAGCTGCAGGATTTCTCCTCCTTCATTCCTCTCTCCTGAAACCATTGTGTACTGCCCTGGACAGCTGCCGGTTTTCCTCTCTATTAGTCCTCGAGGAGCTCCAGAGGGGAAGCTGTGATTCACTTTTTCAGTTGTACTTTTACTGGAAACTTAGAACATACATTGTCATCCTTCCCATCTTCCAGCAGCGTGTCTGCACTGCTCACAGCTCATAGACCCCAACACAACCTCCAGGAGCTGGGGGAGGTGGGAAGAACATCAACTACGGGAGGTTCCAGGGACTTTTGGGGCTACATGTCCAGCAGATTCATTACTGGGCTTTCTCCCACAGAAACTTCCAGAGAAACTCCATCTCTGTACATGGAGCAGGAATGAACAGAGAATCTTCATACTCCAGTTCTCCAAGCAGACTCAGCAGTGGCACAAACACCAAACTGAGAGGAAAGAAACTGCTTCCAGGATTTAAGGCAAAGTAGATCCCGTGCTACCTTGGCTTGGGATTCAACAGCTGGGAAGATGATGCTGGAACAGCTGCCTGATTTATCACCAGGGCAGCCTGAACCATTCCACCAAATCCTCATCAGTACCATCACCCCCTTTCCCACAGCCCAGGTGCTGTCCAGCCTCACTGAGCCCACTTGAACTCCTGGCCTCACATTTCAGAGCCACCAACCACGACCTGAATGCCCAGCCCTGATTCCAGGAATGCCCAGGTGATTCCTCACACCTTACATCAGTGCCCACATAAATGTCAGTTATATAAATCAACTCCTTTTGTAAGCTGAGGAGGATTTTCAACCACTCCATTGCAGGCCAGGAAGGTGACTGTGCTGCTTCACCTGTCACAGCCCCACTGCCCAGACACAGCCCTGCACGTGTCCAGGCAAAGCAGGACCTAAAAAAAGCCAAGGACAAAACACCCATTAACTTCAGATGGGTCAGGGGTCTCGCCAAGAAAGCTGAGAGAAAATAGGGGGTGTGAAGAAGGAGGGAGAATCCCCCCTCAAGAGATTTAAATCATTGATAAAGGACAAAGAGATTTAAAAAAAATTAAAAAAATAAAAGAAATATCTGTTAGTCCAGCCTGAGAGCAGGGGCAGCTTCTCAGACACAAACACTGACTGGGGGCTGCAGGGGCACAGGAGAGCCACAGACCCCAACACCCCTGAAAAGCTGCAACATCCCCTTCCCAGCAGTTTTCCCTGTGTGGGCATGGGGCCAGCTCCTCCAGGAAAGCTGCAGCACAAGCCTTCCCCCTCCCAGCTGGCAGAGGACAAAAGGTTCAGAAGAAGCTGTCGGGCTCGCCCTGGCCCTGTGGCACAGACGGGCAGGTCTGGGCAGTGCTGCCAAGGGCTTCCCAGCAGCCTGTGTCAGCAGGAACTGCGATGCCACGAGGTCTCACGCCCCACAGCCAAGGTCCTTTGGGTGCTCAGCCCTCTGTTCTCAAAAAATACGGCTACAACCCAATTTTCTGGCCTGGTCTGGCTGGCAGAGCCACAGGGAGCAGGGCTCTGGGTGCTGCTCCCCATTGCAGTGGTTGGATGTCACATATTCACATTTGATCAGAAGCTCTCAGTTTTTCTCCTTCGGGACTGACTGGAGGAGCAGTTCCTGCCATGCAGCTGGATGAGAGAGAAACCACCAAACCCAGCATGACATTCCCAATGGCAGACAGTGCTGAAGTTCACATCACAACAGAAATCCCACTCACTTCAGTGGTTCCCTCCCACACAGGAGCAGAGCGATTGCCTGCACTCCATGGGAAAGTACCACACTCCAGTTGTTTATTCTACCCATGGGCAGTCCTCTGGCTATTTATATGTTTCCCACTAGTGTATCCAAATGTTTTATTAAAGCAAATTTGATAAATGGGATAATCAGTATCTCATCCCATCAAATTCAACAGCTCTCTGCATCCACAACACCTCCAAAACACAAAGGGGCCACGTTGGTCTTGGGACACCCCGTCAGACCACCCTGTTCTTGTTTTCCCCCCATTCTGACTTTCCTACTGAACTTTCTAATCAAAGGGCATTTACTGACCAGAGGGTGAAAACAAAGCCCATCTTGTTCTCTATGTCAGTAACATAAAATGTCAAGGGTTGATGGAGAAAGGGCATGGGATGGCTGGGAGGCACCAGGAGCTGGAAGGGCACCAGGGGCTGGAAGCCCTGCCCAGCTCCCTGCCCTCCCTCTGCACACACACCTGGCTGCAGGGACCCTGCTTTGGCAAAACAGAGCTAACACCAAATTTCACATCTCTTCACTAAAGACATACATCAAACAAGCTTGTTATTGCAAATCTATTTCAGACAAACACACTTATTTAAAAACAATCTCCCTGTGTTTGTTTGCAAACTGGATTTTGTTGAAGGCAGCGCAGAGAGATGATTGTGCTTGGAGAGCATCCTCTGCCCAAGGGAAAAGACACTAATCCACACCCTGCTCTCTCCTGGAGCTCAGGCTCACAGCAGGGTCCAGGGCTGGAAATGCACAGCTGTGACAAACAGCAGCCCTGGACAGGCACACAGACCAACAAACCCAGTGAAAGCCCTGTCAGTACCCCAGACACAGATCCCTAGGCAGGACTGGGTCACCCCACACCCCAGGAGGCAGGACCTGGAGCAGGGATCCACTCACACCGAGGAGGGAGCACCAGACGTGCTTCCAGCAGTGACCTACGCCCGGGCAGAGTCATCTGGATCCAACAGGTCACTCGGGAAACAGGAGAGAGATCCAAGAGCCGTGTCACTGTGCACTCACTTTGGGCCAAACCAAAAATAGCCCTAATAACGCATCACTGGAGCTGCTGTCCTCACTGCAGGAAAACAAACGACTCAGTTTCTCCTGTCAAGAGGAATGCCACTCTCATGGGCACCTCTGGGCACAGCCAAGGTGTGTTCTGCCCTCGGAGAAGCCACCAACCCGACCCAACAGTGTGATCTCCTCCAAGAGGAGCCACCCCGTGCTGAACAGCTCCTCACCATCACCAGCTCCTGCCTGTTCCTGCCTCGCACACTCTGGGCATTCATTTTTGCCTGTGAGATACAAAAACCTTTCAAATCTGCATCGTCATTATGAAGACTTCAAGACCTGGCAGCTGTTCCAAATGGAAAGCAAAACCACTGTCCTTCCTTGGCTGTGGGAAATTCCACCTGTGCGAAGGGTTTGCTTGCTTTTCTTGTTTTCTTTCTTTCCCAGTGCTGAAGCCACATGATCCCAACACCGTGGGCTGTGCTTCAGCCAGGCAGCCTGGACACCCCTGCTGAGGAAGCACGAGGAACCACAGAGGCTTTGCTCCATTTATGGCAGTGCTGCCCAGTCAGAACCACAGGGTTTTCCAAGAAAACTATAAACAGCAAATGATAGCTCTTTACAGCAGGAAATGCCTCTTTAATCTGGAGTGGAAAACTATATCCACTTATTTAAACCTATTACAGATAACATTAGCCATTCATGAACCTTATAAGGAGCCCTCATTTTGCTTGGATGATTTGTGATTAACAATGTTTAGCTCCAGAATTAATTCCAGCAGAAAGCAAAAAAAAACCCCCAAAACCCGAAACCAAAAAAGAAACAAACAAAAAAACCCCCAGCCAAACTCAAGTCTTCATTTTGCCTCGAAATACTCTAAAAAGTGAATTTGGCCAGACCATCAAATGTGTATTCACTGAACAGATGTTTAGGAAAATGACAGGTGGATGTTAATGAAGGGAGAGGGTTTGTCCAAAGGAGATTCCAATCCCACTGCTACTCTTGCTTGAGTTGCTACAACTTCCCTTGGGTTGAAAGACTCAACCCAGGTCACAGCCTGGACAAGTCTTGCAAGGCACAAATGATAGTCCACATGTATAAATGAACAGAACCCATTTTTTGTATCAGTAGGCCATTAAAAATAATTTTGTTTTACTGTTTTTGAAAACACAGGACAATTACTCAGACCATGGGGATGCTCCAAGAACTGAGCCTGAGGGCACATCTGCTCCAGGGCAGCCACAAGCCTTCAGCAAAGCTGACCCAGGAGCACATCCCAGCAAACCAACCTGTTCACAGAGAGCAGCAGCTGGTCCACACACGCTTTGATCTTGTTCTGTGCTTCCAGGTGTGTCATGTTCTCTGTGTTCTCTCCATTAATTGCCAGAATAACATCTCCTGGGCACAAGTCTGCCATGGCTGCTTTACTGCCAGGGTTAATCTGGGCAGAGAAAAATAAAAGGGTTACTTAAAAGAATTCCAGGTTTAAAAAAAAAAAAAAACAAACACAAAAAAACCAACGCCCAAAAAGTCCATTTTCTTAGAATAAGCTGCAGGTAAAAGGAATAGTTATTTCTGGAGAATTTTTGCCTACACTGAGGTTGGATGTCAGAGCTCTCAGCTCAGCCTCAGTTCTCCAAGGATCATCCTCTACAACAACACTCCATGGAATAAGAGACTTCAGTCAGTGTGTGACCAGATCCTCCCCTCACATTTGTCTCTTGCTTGAAATAATGGAATACCCTCTTTCCAGGGAGATGCTCCACACTCCTTTGGCTTGCAGACCTTACATGATGCTGCAAGAATCAACCCCTAAAGAGCACAAGGAACCTCCTCCCTGGGTAACCACGCACAGAGGGTGAGTGCTGGCACTGTAACTGCCTGGGACAGGCCCTGCTGGACATCAGCTTTTCCTGACTGCCACCCAAATGACTCGTCTCCTTCCAGCCCTGCACGGACCCCATCCCTGGAGGAATTCAACAGAAGTGGCTCCTGGGGACAGGGTTTAGTGGCAGCCTTGGCAGTGCTGGGGTAATGGTTAGACTTGAACATCTTTTAGATCCTTTCCAACTGAACAATTCCACGATTCTATTCTATAAATATCACACAGCTTGTTAAGTCTCCACAATTCTTTCCTTCTGGTTTTGTGGGAGTGCCAGAACCTTATAAAACTCATAACTTCTTTCCTGAGGAACTAATGACGGGTCCAGGTACCGTTTGTGGTCAGCCATGAGACCAACCCTGTAGCCCACAAAAGAGGTGCCTGAGAAATTACCGTTTCATTTACATCATCCTAAATGTGCTTTTAATTTTTATAATGATATAAAAGGACACAAGGCGTGGTCAGGACAGGTAAATCTGTTGGTTTAAACTCTTAATAGCTGTGTGTTTGCCCTCTAATTTCCTCTTCAGTCATTCTGAGCATCTGCTAAGCAACCAACCACGTGGTTTATCAAGTGAGAAAGCACAGCGAGCCTGACTTCTGGTTATTCATGTCTCACTGCACTAAAGCAAGACAGGGTGTCTCTGCTTCTGCTTACTCTTGATTCACACAGGTATAATCCCCTGTCTCAGGAGGGGGGTCTCTGCCCCAGTACACCTGCTTGAGACATCCAGACCACAGGAGCACTGCTCTACCCACCATCTGCCCCTGGGCACAGCTCACAGTGGTGCAGGATGGCACCCAGACACCAACAGACTGGGTATGGTTTTTCAGGCAGTTTGAGACCAAGTGGGGCCACCTGTTCCCCAGTGCCCGTGGTCTCCAGCCACCACAGGCCATCACTAAACAGGTATTTTAGAAAGGAGGCATGCACAGGTCCTGGCTTTCACCTTGATTTCATAGAACCCTGGAATGGTTTGGGTTGGAAGGAACCTGAAAGTTCACCCAGTTCCAACCCCAACCCCCCTGCTGTGGGTGAGGACACCTTCCACCAGACAGAGCTGCCCCAAGCCCCACCCAACCTGGCCCTGAACACTTCCTGGGGCGATTTATTCTATCTCCATGGGGAAATCTTCAAAGAAGATTTAATCTCACCCCACAGCCCTTGTGGATCCCCCTGGGGCTGCCTGTTGGACAGAGGCTGGTGAGCAGCAGGCAGCCCCTGGCATGACACAACCTGCTGCACTGCCCCCTGACACAACCTGACCTCTGCACTGCCCCCCGACACACAACCTGACCTCTGCACTGCCCCCTGACACACAACCTGCTGCACTGCCCCCTGACACAACCTGACCTGCTGCACTGCCCCCTGACACAACCTGACCTGCTGCACTGCCCCCTGACACAACCTGACCTGCTGCACTGCCCCCTGACACAACCTGACCTCTGCACTGCCCCCTGACACACAACCTGCTGCACTGCCCCCTGACACACAACCTGCTGCACTGCCCCCTGACACACAACCTGCTGCACTGCCTGACCACAGCCACCAACACCACCAAAACACCAGCCTGGAGGTGTTTGAGAAGCACTTTTGACATTTAAATAGAACTGGCAGCCCGAATTACAGCTTTTGTTGCATTGTCAGAGTAAATCAGCGTTTGCCATTTGCTCTTCAATAGTTTTGGCCGGGCTGTTTGGCTCCAGCAAACCTGCCAGGCCAGCCCCTCACAGGCTGCCCGGTGACTCAGCTCAGAGCAAACAACGGGAGGGGTTTGTCAGCTCCACACACAGGAGCTGTAGAGTTTTGACACAGGACATTTCAGCCCAGGACAGGATTATTTTTCCCCTGCTATGTTAGGTTTTTTGGAGCCATGTAAGACTACGTCCATCCACAGGGCATCAGGGTCCTTCTACAGCCACAGGAGCTGCCAGACCCGCCAGAAAGTCAACCAGAAGCTCCACCAGCACCTCCAAGGAAGCATCTCCATGTTCTTGCCTGCTGTTATCTGCTTCCCTCAGTGGCCACCCCACAGCCCTGGCTGCCAGCAGGCTTTTAGACTAACAGACCTTCAGCCTGACCCAGGACAGCTGTATTTTGTTCTTGTCCATTCAGTGCTGTCTAAATGTCTGATGGATTTGCCCCTGCACTGATCTTAACCAGATTGTAGCTCCCTTGGAGAATAAGCTGTTCATAAATGGGACTCCTAGCTTTTTCCTATTTTTAGATTCTGGTTTATTTCAAATTATTTTGGCAGTATTTGCATATTAGCATTTTATACTTGCTGTGGAGATGACCGAGGGCTTGAAATGGAGCTGCACTCCCAAGAATTCATCAGTTTGAGATACAGCATCAGTGTCTCAACAGCGTGGGAGTCATTACTGTAATGTCTGTCAGGTCCAAAGTTTGTATTTTAGTGACTAACGTTTACAATACTTCAGACTAAGTTCACCTAACTCACAGCTGTGCACAGCCATTGACACCAAACATGCCACAGAAAGCCTGACGAGGCTGGTTTGGGGTCAGTGCTGTGCCCAAATCCTTCTACCTGCTTTGGACTTGGGTTAGTGCTGGCCTTGGCAGTGCTGGATTAACAGCTGGACTTGATGGTTTTAGAAATCTTTTCCCACCTAAACATTCTGTGATTCTATGCCATTAGAGCCTGGCAGTGCACAGAGGTTTTGGGATGGAGCTTGTACCAGAGCCACTCACTTGAGACTCTCCAGAGGGGCCTCGGGTGTGCCCTGAGCTGTAACCTCAGCGTGTGTGACACCAACGAAACACAGATGAGTTTGAGAGTAACTGGATACGTTGTGAGGCTGAAAACAGACAGAAAACCTGCACTGAGCCACTGCAGCCTCATGTTCCTGAAAGGGGCCTCCAGAGGAGCTGAGGCTCGAGGATAGGAGAGGATAAAGAAAAACTTCAAATAAAGATTTTATTTGAAGTTCTCCATCTGTGCCAAGAGCAAACCATTTCAAAAATCAAGGTTGGATGAACACAGCCCAAGATCAGAGTGATGGGTACGTAACTCAGGGTGCTGTGAGTGATCCCCCACCACAGGCAACACCAAGTGCCCTAAAGCCAAGTCCCAGCTCATGCACCAGGGCCTCACACGGGCTCTGTGTGTGCCATGCCCCATCTTGCCCAGGCTGGGTGCCTGCCAGGATCTGGGCTGCTTCTCTGCTCGTCTCCAGTGAAGAGCTCAGGCAGGGCAATTCCACACCAGCCCAGTGCCTCCCACCGTGCTGACCCCCAGGGCAGCAGCCCCACGCAGGGGTTGGTGTTTCAGAGCCAGAGCAAGGTGCTGGTGTGGAATTCCATGAGGGGACAGGGGACTCTCATCCCCTGGGCTGCAGCAGCTCACAGGGTCTTGCTCCCTCTGAGGCCACGTAGCTCTCCAGGAGCTCTGCTCGTGCCGTGGGACAGCAACCTCAGCACCCCTTCAGAGCAGTCAAGTGTATGCACTGAGAGCCAAAACCACAGCAAACACCACGGGCTTAAAGAAACGTAAATATTTTTATTGTAATTCCCCTACAGGGTTTTCTTTTTCGACCAGGCAAGAACCCTGCCTCCTCTGGAAGCTCTGAGCTCCCAAGGACAACCTCATGCAGCAACAAAACAGCACTGAGCTGGTTATTGCTGCCCTGCACTCAAAGGTATCTTCCCAACAACATAAATCCAAAGCCAACTGATGGAGACTTTTGGTGAAGTTTCCCAAGATAGTCATGCCAATCCCAAAAAGCATATTATTCTCCCTAATCCCATCAGGACAAGTCTCATTTGTGACATCTTTATGTCCCCCACGTAGCACTGTGCTTCAAAAAATACCAGAGGTGCAATATTGGTTCCTATCTCAGTGCTTTCTATTATTCCAGTAGGAAAAAGAGAATTTTAAAGAAAGACCCCCCCAGTAAACAGCTCTTCTCTCACTGTCCTCTGCCTCCTCAGTCAGACCCACGGGAGGTTTGGTGACGGTGCTGGAAGCATCATTCCCACACCCAGCACGACTTTTGCCAAGTCATCAACCAGGGAACTCTCTCCATAATTATAAGCACTTTTTTAAAATAAGTTTTTCCAATTATTTTCTCCACCACTTTTCCCAAGATTTCCACCCCCCTCTCTGCCCTTCTCCAGGGAGGCCAGCCTTCAGCAGCCCCCTCCCCAGCCAAGAGGATATTCTGATGCTATGGAACAGACTGGGAAAAGCCCAAGGCCAGCAGCAGCTCTCTTATCTGGCCACTGGAGCCTCGTTAGGATTTACTAAGTGCTGGCATCTGACAGCAGGCCAGTAAATAAAGCACATTAAAGAACTGCCTTGTGCTTAACCCAAGCCGGCTGGTGTTGGAGCCGTGCAGTCTAATTTAGTCAGCAAGATTATTCACACCCAGAGCAGTCTACTCTTGAAACACAGTTAGTGTTCTGCTGTCTGCCCTGGAGCCTGACCACACAAGGGTGCCAGGGCTGGGAGAGCACTCAGAGCAGGGCAAAGTCCCCGTGCCTGGTGCCTGCACCCCCTGCCCACGGAGGGACAGACCCCTGCCCACGGAGGGACGGA